GTTGCGCCTCCTCCTACCGGGGGTTTGTGGGGGGGGGGGGAAGACACTGGTTCATGAGGGAAGCAGTTTTGCCTTTTCTTTCCTTACTGTTGTTTTAATTTCTAGTTGCAATCCGAGTGTGGCTTCTTCCCAGGGAGGCATTATTCACCTTGGCCGGACCTGTGGCAGACGCATCTTTCTCAGATGGCTGTGGGAGATTACCTGAGAGAGGAATGAGACAGCAGCACCTGACAGAACTGTATGCCAAAACCCTCAGGGGAGAAACAGAAAGAGACCCTGAAGTTTGGCCTAAGTGTATCTAATCAGCTTAAACTGGGATCTAAAATATAAACCAGTCAATTGGACACACGTAGCAAGTCTCCACACCAGATCTTCATCAGACATGGTCTTGTCTGATTACCTCTGGCTGCTTATCAGACTGCCAGTCCCATCAGGAGAACACTGCAACTGAGAAATGTCTGTGACTTTTGCCTTTAGCACTTTCGAGCTCCTGGGTGGGTCCAGTCCTTTGAACACTGCAGAAGGCTTCTGGTTGCCTCAGTTGTTTGGGGTTTTAAATGTTCTCAGTGTAGTGATTGTCTATCTTAGAATAACAGAAATATCCAGCACTTTCCAAAGAACTGAAACCAAACACAAAGTGGTCTATCGTACGAGCCAAACAGCAAACAGGATTAGGAAGTATTTTCAGACCATAAATGGAGGTTGTTGGCATACGATATGCAACAAAGAGAACTGCTGCCTTAATCTGTGGTGGATAGAAAATGCTGCAGCTAATCCTAGGAACGAAAGGGAATAGCGGTCATCTGTGGACCTGGAAACTGAAGAGCTGAGAGCTGTGTTTCCAGCTCTTACAGAGACTTGCTTTGGAAATTCAGCAGCTGTATTCTGTTTAAATGCAAAACCTGGCAAACCCACTTGTTTCTATGGCAGCATATTAGATCTTATTTCTTTTTATCAGTGGAGGTTTGCAGCAGGATGGGGTTGGAAGTAATTCCTCTAGCAGAATACTAATCTGTTTAGAAATCTGATGGGCTTTGTCTGGTTTTCATCAGCATAGCTTCTAATTCACTACTATTTGCAAGCATGGACATGGTTTCATTTTAATATCTACAGTGCTACGTGCAGTGGAAGCAGGAATTACTCAGTATGTTAACCTGCTCGTAAGATCACAAAGATTTCCTTGTGCTAACAGGAAGAGTGAGTAGGAATAATGTGATACTTTCTGCTCATTGTTCCTACTTTTATCTTAGGCATTGGTCAATGCCAGAGAATCCTACTAAGTTACTTGTACATACAAGCTCGTGGTATGCACTGAATCTCTCTAGCCTGTTACAGAGATTCCTGGGTAATGAACCCATGAATTTCACTATTACTGAATTCTGTTTATAGAGATCACTTCAAACACTTCTCATGGAACATCAGCATCCTGTCTTTCACTTAATGAAAGTGTAAAGTAACTGATGTCAGTGAATATATTGCTTTAGTTAACAGAAAGGTTAAAGATAAATAATTAACAGTGTAACTGGCTGTTCCAGGACAGGGCTACAAAGCTGGTGGCTGTAAAAGCACATTAAAAATGTCTGTCACTGAACAGGTCAGCAGGGGGACAACCAAAGAAAGGGATCCATATGCATCAGACTCGTAACTATGGATTTTAGGAAACTGGATGAAAGAAGACTGAGGGACTCATAGATTGCCACATTGGACTTTGTAATCCTGCCACAGTGCTTTGTCTTGCTGCTCCCAGGAGGTAGTGGGATCTCACTCCCAGCAGGTGTTCAGAGGGGTCACTAGTGAAGAGCTCTATGGTCATGTCCAGCAGGACAATCAAGGAAAAGCTTTCCTACCAGCTTAATAGTTTGTGTAAGTTACTGAGAAGATGTGGAT